AACGAAGTTACGGAAAGTTAATTAACAAACGGAGACGTAACAATAGTTTATAAAATTGTCTTCACAATGTCGATGGGTTCTCATCTGTAATTCTAAGGTTTGTTGATTTTAGTGTAAAGCTACACAATAGGATATATGCGTTCTGTCCATCGTGGAGAATCGAACCCTGCATTTTAACATTGTAACTCCGTAGACTTACTACTGACTCAATGGGGAGGGGGACCACTTTATACACCTGGGGGCGTTGACATGGCGATAATATCCCTATAATCGCTAAGGTATACTAACCGTTTTCCATTCCAATTCTATAATACTACTGTATAAAATATATGTGCGCACTGTGTATAAGTTAGATGTAAGCTAAGTTACTTTGGTCAATATTACATCATAATGCATCATACCAGCCTATTTAACTTCGGACGAGCTTAAAATATATAAGAGTTAGGTTTAGAAACTAGACGTTGAAGTTACTGTCATGCCAAGTACAGAAATTACTTCTCATCTAAAGGACGCCAACCCCAACCGCTCCGTACACTCACTTGTCACTAAGTTTGTTTGACTAGTTGAAACATGTTAGAAAAACAAGTTCACGAAAAGTATGGTTTTGTTGGTGTCTACTTTTTGAATGATCACATGACACTTCCACGCAGCTGCCTAGCAAGTTTTGCACGTGCGGACCCACCAAAAGGTAAAACAATCATTCTCCCGAGCAGGGTTTTTTTTATATAATAGAATGCAGATGCCCTTCCCCTCTCCTTCCCTTCGTCTCGATTCGAACACTCCATCACAGTCACAAATCTCACCCCAGTTACTATAGCAACAGCACATGTAAACTCAGCGCATATATATATTATCTGTTACCACAATGAAATTTATAGATATGGTATTATCGCTTAAATACATTGGCTAAAAATAAAATTAACAATACTAACGACAAATATATTTATGTATTGTTGTAGCGTTGTTCCTTCGATGGCGGGTTATTTTAATTTATCTGGTGAAAATAATTCAACGTGCAGCTCAACTGATAAAAACAAAATATTTTATTTCCTCCTTTTATGTTTCTACAAACTTGGACACGTGTACACTGCCATAACTTATTGTAGGCCTACGTTACAAAGGACGTTCAAACTGTGCTACGTTTACGTATACAAAATCAACTTACTTGAACAAAGTAATTTAATAAGCGCGATAGCAAACACAGGTTCAAATACTTTACGAAAACACACTGATTAACTCGACTCTCTGTCTTTAAATAATTCTACAATCTTCACAACTATCTCGTATTTATAATATAGGTTCAAATGTGCGAGAAAAGTTGACGTTAACTTATAATTTTCTAGGCGTTTTACGCCCTCTAAC